TCTCCGTGCCCGTGTGTTATCGTCCCTCGCGCGGACCAAACGGCACCGTCATCGCCGTCATTTTCTTCTCTGCCATTTAGGACCAACGTTCTAACCTTACTCTCCCCGATTGACCGCGCTTCTTCGTTGGACACGTCGAAAGGAGGAGAAGGAGGAAAGAGGAAAGAGGGTGACAATCGTTGCGGGATAATTCGAGGAATCGAGGGATGGAAGGCTTTATTTGATTAAATTAAGGTTATTTTTTTTTTTTTTTTTTATATGTGTGTATAATTTTATCCGATTATTCGAGCGTTGAAAGAAGAGGTGGAGGAGAATCGAAGGAAACGAAGGGTCGTGACAATCGTTTAGGAGAATGATTAATTTTTTTTTTTTTTTGGTGATTTGAATTTTTAAGATGTGTATAAGGTAGTATTATGAAGTTCGAAAGAGCGAAAGTGAAGCAGAGTTTGGAAGATTGAATTTTGAAATTTTTGCGAAAAAATTAAATCCACGCTTCCTCTTTAATTTTTCTTACGATAATATATATACGTCGTTCTTTAACGAGATTTTAATTATCGCGCAACAACGTTCTGGCCGCGCCCGACGACTACTAATCTCTATTGCTAGTCTTTCGTCTTCATTAACAAAAGCGGTGAAGCCGTGCGTCGTCAAGGATGCATATGAAGGGAAACGAAGAGAGAAGGAAGGTAGAGAAGACGGTGTACGAGCAGAACGAAGACAGAGGGGGAGAATGGAATGTCTTTTGCTAGGAGAGCACTTTATTTTCCAAATGGCTCCTCTCTCTCTATTCCCGGGTCAAAAAAGGTTGTGGCTAAAGCGAGAAAGTCAACCAGGGGCCATTGTTGCACACGGTTCGTCGATATTTCACCCACATCTCGCCCTCCTGGATTCGGGGCGAACCCGAGACTGGATTTTCAATCCGATACCGGATTTTGTTCTTCGAATTTATGCACATTCCACTATATAAAGCTGGATAATCAAAAGAAACTCGAGGAAACAGTTGGAAAATTTGCGAAGAGACGATTCCGTTAAAACATCTTTTGCCACGAAATAATTCTTAAATGCCTTAATTTATTCAAGCCAAAAATCAAAAATTTACTCTTCTGGATCAACTGGATTATTCATTATTTTTATATTCAAACTTAGAATTTTATTATTAACATCAAACGTTTAACAATGTCCACCATTTTATAAGCTACTTCATAAGATTAAATTTCCAAAGCTATCAGATCGAAGATAAAGACGATCCATTTGTTAAATAATCCTCGGATTACAAAATCAATCCTTAGATATACTTAACTCAAAATCAAAAATTTACTTTCCCTTTGAAACAATTTCAAATCATCATCTGGATCAACTGGATTATTCATCATTTTTATATTCAAGAATTAGAATTTTATTATTATTAAGAATTTTATTATTATTAATCAAACATTGAACAATGTCCACCATTTTATAAGCTACTTCAGCTTAAATTTCCAAAGCTATCAGATCGAAGATTCGATTAAAATGAACATTTCTTAAATAATCTCCGAATTACAAAATTAACCCTTAAATATACTTAATTCAAAATCAAAAATTTACTTTTCCTTTGAAACAATTTCAAATCATCTGGATTAACTGGATTATTCATCATTTTTATATTCAAGAATTAAAATTTTATTATTAACATCAAACATTTAACAATGTCCACCACTTTATAAGCTATTTCATAAGCTTAAATTTCCAAAGCTATCAGATCGAAGATTCCATTAAAATGAACATCTCTTAAATAATCTCCGAATTACAAAATCAACCCTTAGATATACTTAACTCAAAATCAAAAATTTGCTTCGAAACAATTTTCCAAAATCCAACTCACGGATAACGCTTGAATTTCGAAATCCATCCCGAGGTCAGTTCCGTCGGAGGATCTTCCGATTCCGCGCAGTATGTTTCGAGGCGGGCGAAGAAGAGGAAACCGAGGCGGTAATCAATTGGACGTAGCTCTCCCAGGGAGGAGAGAGTGGAGCTAAGACTGGATGTAAATCATCCGGACAAAGCCGCTTAACGATCCGACAAAGGGCCCGCCGCGGTCCACGAATTATAGAATCGGGAATAATCGCGCTTTCTTCTCTCCTTTTTTTTTTTTTTTTTTTTTTTT